TGTGTGTGTGTGTGTGTGTGTGTGTAAAGGAAACAATCATTCTATTCTATTCTTTTCTGGGTTTGTTGTTGTTGTTCTATTTGATCAGATTCTATTAGGTCGGATGATCTTAGTTCATATTCCATTCAGTTAGAATTAGGGCTGTGCAATTAATCAAAAAATCATGATTATGGCATAATTCGACTATGAAATTATGAAATATTATTCATATTTATATTATTATTATTATAACTATAAATATGAGTAATTGTATGGTTTTAGGCTAAAAGAATAATAAGAAAATATTAATTATTATTATTATTTTTTTATAGCCATAAATATTATTTGTGGAATTGTATAGTTTTAAAGTAATAATAAAATAATAATAACTATTATTATTATTATTATTATTCATTTTTCTTAAATGCCAGATTTTTTTCTTTGAACTTGTGCAATATTTTATATTATCTAATATTTTTATTATTATTATTAAAATGTATATTATTATAGCTATAAATATTAGTAGCTTTATCGTTTTAGTCTAAAATAATAATAATAAAGTATTTATTATTATTATTATAGCCATACATATTAGTTGTGGAATTGTATAGTTTTAATGTAATAATAAAATAATAATAACAATTATTATTAATATTTCTTAAATGCCAGATTTTTTTTCTTTGAACTTATATTTTATATTATCTAATATTTTTTATTATTATTCAAATTTATTTTATTAATGTAGCTATAAATATTAGTAATTTTATAGTTTTAGTCTAAAATAAGAAAATATGTATTATTATTATTAAATATCATTTCTTAAATTCTTAAGTGCGTGCGTGCGTGCGTATGTGAACAGACCCGTGACCCGGCGCTGAGTGAGAGCATGTGATTGGCTGGGTCTCAGTCTGTGTGTGTTTCTGTTTCCTCTCACAGTTCAGGAGGACAGACTCCTCGCAGAGATCTGGAGAAAGTGCTCACCGGAGAGGAGAAGTGAGTCTCTTCCAACACCACACCACTTCTGTGTGTTTCATGAATCACACAAAACCTGTCAAGAACATCTCCATCATATTTCATTCCACGTGTGCAGAAAAAGCTTGTGTACGGATACTGAAGCCTGTTTAATCAGCTGTAAATACTGTACAATTTAAATTATTTGTTATATAAATGTGCTCAATGTCATGACAATTGCAAAAATAAGTAAATATTTTATTAATGTTAATGAAAATGATTATGAATTAGTGTTATTGTATTATTTTAAGAAATGTTTTATTATTTAATATTTTATTATAATGGAATGTATTTATTGTAATTTAAAAATATATTAGAATTGTGTAATTCATTATTCAATATTTGTATTAATGCTAATTGATTAAAGTGATCATAATTTAATATGATATTTTATTATAATTAATAATTAATTATAAATAAAAATATGGGTATAATTTTTGTAATTCATTATAACTTTACCTTTTGTATTAATGCTAATTACCATTGATTATAATTTAATATTTTTTTATAATAAAACATAATTTAAAAATTATATAATTTATATTTATTTATTTATTTAATTCTGATTATATTTATTATTTAATTTTTATTATATAATTTATACAAATGTATATTATAATCCTTAATTTTAATATTTTTTGTTAATGCTAATTATTGAAAATGATTATAATTTTTTTAAAGATTTAATGAATTATTTTAAAGAAAATTATTTATTGTATTATAATTTAAAAATGTATTAATTGTGTAATTTATTATTTAAATAATGCAAATTGATGAATTATTTAATATTTTATTATTTTATCATAATATGATATAATATATTGATATTATTATAATATTTGATTATTTATTATAATGAAATGTATTTATTATATTATTATAATTTTAAAATGCATTGTATAATTTGTGTAATTTCTTGTAATAGTTCTGTTAATGCTAATTAATCTAAATGATTATTTAATATTATTTTATTATAAGAAAATGTATTTATTATAACTGAAAGATGCATTGTATAATTTGTGTAATATTTTTTACTAATGCTAATTAATGAAAATGATCACTTAATATTTGATTATTATTTTAAGGAAATCTATTATGTAAGCATTTTAAAATGCATTGTATAATTTGTGTAATTCATTACAAATTTCCCTTTTTTTTTTCTTGTTTTTTTTTTTTTTTTAAAGTAATGTGAACCGTGACCCACACAGACTCTTAGGTTTGGATTGTGTGATCTAACATTACTCTCTCTGTGTCTGTCAGGGCGTTACGACCGGGTGACCCGGGCTTCTGTGCTCGAGCTCGTGTGCCCATGCCCTCCAATAAGGACTATGTGGTTCGGCCCAAATGGAACGTGGATGGGGACTCAAACCGGGTGAGTGGGCGGGGCTTATGTGTGGGCGGAGCTCAACTCTATAGAGGAATGATTGACAAGCGTCTCATGCTCAAATAAAGAGTGGGAGGAGTTTGCACAGGAAGTGTGAGGCAGGATAGAGAGAAACGATGATGTTTAGGTTTTTCACCCCTCTGAACCTGATTGGAGGAGGAGTGTGTTTACTGTTGTGTGATTGGTAGAGGAGCTTCAGGAAAGGCCACAGCCTGCTGGAGAAGCACAAGCGGCGTTTTGTGGAGCAGAGGAAGCAGCGGCGGCCGCAGGGAGCCGTGAAAATCAGCATTGAGGGAAACCGAATGCCGCTGTAGTTACACGCTCCTGCCTGAGGGGGCAGTAAGTGTCTGCATGGCGCTGCATGCTGCAGACCGTTGACAAACTAACACGAGATGAAGCGGTCCTCAAACACGTCACCTCAGTTGCCTGAACAAACCCCAGCTGCTCTGGGCCTGGATGTTTTTAACACACACACACACACACACACACACACACAGAGCAGAGTAACTGTTAGCTTAGCAAACACGGTGTGTGTGTGTTTGAGAGCGTTTGAGTTTCTGTGTAAGTCACATGACCAGCCCACTAAACCTCAGCGCTTCAGGCCTGTGTGTTCTTGACATGTTTATACTGAATATAATGAATTAATAATGAAAACATGCTCAAGAACACGACATACAATAACAGCCTGGTGTGTGTTGGTCCAGCCCTCACAGCATTTGATTTGGCTCGGTTTGGATTGTAGTGCTAGTCATAATTTCCTTTTTTCTTAAAAAAACAAAAATATATATATATATATATATATTTTTAATTGAGAAACAAGAAAAATGTATTAATTAATTATTAATGCATTATTAATTTGATTATTAATAAGTGACCCAGAAATAGTGTAGAATCGTTGTTTTTTATATATATATATACAGTATATATATATATATATATATAATTTTCTTTTTTGTTTTGTAAATAAAGCTATTTTCAATTGGCTTGATTTTGTAGTTTCTGTCTTTTTTTTTTTTTCCCCAAAAGTATATTTTGATTTGCCTCTTAGTTTCCTTTTTTATTTATTTATTTTTTAATAACATTTTTAATTAGCTTTTTTGATAATAATAATTAAAACAATATATATTATATAAAAAAATAACATTTATTTGGCTTGTATTTGTAGTTGTAGAGTTTCCCCTTTTTATGCATATCATTACTTGACTTGATTTTGCTTGTTCTGTTGATTATTTTTATTTGATTTCTTAGAAACAATTTTTAAATTTTCTTTCTGCTTATAGTAGTTTCTTTTTTGTCTTTTAAGTAGATATATTACATTGCCTTGTTTTTGATTGAAATAGTAGTATCCTTTTTTAAAGGTGTATTTTTAATTGATTTTATTTAACCTTTATTATTATATATATATATTTTTAATTGGCTTGTTCTGGATTTCTAGTAGAGTTAATGCATATTTTTAGTTGACTTGATTTGGCTTTTAATTGTTTCCTGTTTATTTTTTCATGTTTACCTTTTTTTGTAGTAGGTTCCATTTTTAAAAGAAACATTTAAAAAAAGAAACAGTTGCATTAGCTTTTGTGGGTTTTTTTTTGTTAGTGCATATTCTTAATTGACTTAATTTAGTAGTATTTTAGTATTTTCCTGTTTGTTTGTTTGTAGTTGGTTCCATTTTAATTAAAAAAAAAAATTATTATTATTATTTTTTTTACATTTTTCATTAAAAAATTTTTTTTCTGCTTATAGTTTCCAGGGTTTTCTCTCCCTCTTTTTTTAATGTAGTATTTTATTTGGCTTGTTTCTGTTTGTGTTCCGGTGTTTTTGACTCTCTCTCTCTCTCGCTCAGGCTCTGCTGAAGAAGGGTTTGTCGCGAGTAGATAAACAGATGCGGCGTTTCGCGGATATCAAGCGTCTGACGAAGACGGGTCACGCGGTGAAGATCAGCGTGGAGGGGAACCGCATGCCGCTCTGACGGCTCTCTTGTGTTTGTCTGTCAGTCCTCGATTCTCCAGCGGTTCCCATAATGCCGTGCGTGTTCAGCGGAGCTGCGTTCGCTCATCTGGGAACGTTTTGCAGTTTTGGTTCTGATGTATCTTTCATAATAAAGAGTTTCCATGTCCGATATTTTACTCATGTTCTCCTGGCCTTTTCTTTTTATTTGACTTTTGTTATATTTGCATATATAATCTTAGAACAAATGCTTTAGTTTATTGATGTTGGTATGTTTCTATTTTAAAACTGTAATGTAATTTATTCAGTAATAAGCAATATTACGTAATAACGATAAGAGGCTCATAAACACACTCGTATTAAAACAGCCATCTGAAGAAACCAAGCTTGTGCCAATGATATTAAACAAAATCTTAGCTTTTTATTTGACTTTTGTTATATTTGCATATATAATCTTAGAACAAATGCTTTAGTTTATTGATGATGTTGGTATGTTTCTATTTTAAAACTGTAATGTAATTTATTCAGTAATAAGCAATATTACGTAATAACGATAAGAGGCTCATAAACACACTCGTATTAAAACAGCCATCTGAAGAAACCAAGCTTGTGCCAATGATATTAAACAAAATCTTAGAAATATGACATGAATGAGGAATTAAGTATATGGAAGATCAAATGTCAAACTGAAATAAATCTTGACTGCTATTGTTGGAAAGTGAGTAAATGTGTGTTGTGAAGATACATGTGAAAGAAAAAATTAATGTGAATAAATAAAAAAAAATAAAAAAATTTGTGCTCAATGTACTCAAATGAGAAAGACATTACGTCTACAAGATATATTTACATTTTTTTAGATTTTCTCACATTTCTTGACCATTTTAAAAATATAATTTTAATGTATCTATATAAATGAGTACCTACTGTATCAAAAATATATTACACATTTTTTTATCTATATGATCAGATCTGTATTGACAAATATATATTGGCAATTTTTGTATGTTTTTTTGAAATATATAAAAAAAAAAAATATTTTTGTAAATACGGGTTGCTAAAAAATGCATTGCCTTCACTTAGAAATCAGTTTCTAATCTTTCAAAAACAAAGTTGATCTTAGACATTAAGAAGTGTATGTGCTTAAAAAAGATGACTTATTGGGGAAAAAAAAAAAAAAAAACCTGATAAAAAAATGTATTATATGAAATCACTTCCTTAGTCACTTACAGAACAGATGTATTTTTCATAACTCGGTGCACGTTTTTATTTTTGCGTTACTTGATTTATTTCTAGCATCGCAAGATAACATACTGGTCCATGACGTTTTTTGAAAATGTAAGAAGCAAAACATTGCTAACATTTGACAATAAGCATCCATTACTTCACAGTAATTAACTACATTAATTGACATTAAATGAAATCTTAGTTTATTTCAACATTTACTAATACATTATTAAAATCAAAGGGTTTATCTGTTAATATTTTTTTAATGGATCTGAGCTAATATAGACTGAACAGGTGTATTTGTAACATTAACAAATATGAAATACTGTAACAAATATCTTGCTCATTGTTAATGCATAGGCTATATATATAGTTTTTTTGTCTTGATTTTGTCAATAAAACTTGTCTGCTAATGGGATCGGGAAAATAAATGAGAATTTTTGTTTGTTTGCGGTGTAGATATGAACATGAAGAGAGAAAAGATCCTGCTTAATTTCAGACACGCAGATGTATATACAGCTATATGTGTATATGTATACACTCGAAATATGTATATATGTATGTACTTTCGAAAATACATACTTTTTAAATGATATATATTTAAATATATTTTGAAACATATTTTTGTCCATTTTTTATGTTGAAATACTCACACTCACACTCACTCACACTCACACACATATATATATAGGAACTTTATTAATTCATTAATTATTACTGTTATTTTGCAATGTGACACCATTTTCATTACAACAAAATCATTTCCTAACAAATGTTTATTATTGTAATGAGAAGAATCTCATTCTCATTACTGTAACGCATCAATAATCATCCTTGACAATGATTTTTACATCTGAATAAATTAAGCACAACAAATGCATGCTATAATGTATAAACCTATATTTGTATAAAAAATAAAAATGACAAATATATAAAATTTAAAAATAAAAATATTTGTAATATTAAATATTACAGATATTGGTGCAGAAAATGTTTCTGCTTTAAATTATTATTATTTTATTTATCTACTCATTCCTTTCACTTGCATACACACATATACACACACACACACACACACCACACATATATATATATATACAGTGGGTACGGAAAGTATTCAGACCCCCTTAAATTTTTCACTCTTTGTTATATTGCAGCCATTTGCTAAAATCATTTAAGTTAATTTTTTTTCCTCATTAATGTACACACAGCACCCCATATTGACAGAAAACTGCAATATAACAAAGAGTGAAAAATTTAAGGGGGTCTGAATACTTTCCGTACCCACTGTATATATATAAAATCATTATTCTTTTAGGAACACTCACATATACAAAAAATATATGATAAAAATTAAATACTGAAAATACAGCTGATATACAGCAGAATATTAATATTTTAATTCACTATTTTATTATAACTTTCTTTTTTATTATTTATTAATATTTAATTAATTAATCTAAAAAGTAAATGTATAATGTTACAGTAAGATTTCTACTTTAAATGAATGTTCTTTTGAACCTTCTATTCATCAAAAAAAAAACTAAACATATATATATATATATATATATATATGTATGTATATATACACACATAATTCCACATGAAAGTACATTGTAATCTTGTATCATACACTCATATAGATTGTGAATGGTCGCTACAGACCGATGGTCACGTGATCTGGTGTTTGCTGGAGACAGTGAGCTGCCGTCACGACCCAGCGCTGACTGATCAGAGACCCGCCGCAGAAACCGTACTCATCCTCACGACGAAGAAGAACCTGCAGATGATGCGGTGCAGGTCATTTAACACAAGCTCTTCATTCAGAGTGACGATCCGAGTGAAGCAGAAAGCTCAGATTTCACTCACCTGCCACGGACTCCCGCCCTGACCCTGCAGCTGACCTCCAACGATGCGTGCGTCCTCATTCATGCCGCTGATGTCACTTCCTGTGTCAGACAGCTCGTCCTGTGACGCAGATTCGGTTTGGTTTGGCGGGTGAGTCGAGTTGTCCAGTGAACTGTTTTTATGTAATGAGTGGGTGGAGTTTGCTGTGGTGTGGGTGTGGTTTGCATAATCAGCATCCGTGAGGTTTATATCATCCAGTGAGCGAGACATGATCCCACCAATCCACTGCTTCCCACACGGATACTGCACTAACACACACAAACAGATACATCTCATCAGTGTATTATGTGTTTACTTAAATAAAAACAACCATAGGTTGTACATCATGTAAAAAAAAAAACATTGCAATATAATTTATTTCACCTAAAAAAAAAGAACAAAAAAAAAAAGATAATTATGAATAGGTTATTAGCGTTAACTAAAAATAAACAAAAAAACCATAAAAAATAAATTAATTACTTTAAATAAAATAAACTTTAACTGAAATGAAATCAGATAAAATGTAAACTTATTTCAGTTAGCTGCCAAAGCAAAATTACTCAATTTTCTTTAGTTTAATTTTAAGTACTAACATAAATAAAACTAAATCAACTAAAATTAAAAACTAAAACTTAATAAAAACTATATATACATTTAAAAAAGACAAAAAATTATAAAAATTCAATGCATCTATCTATCTATCTATCTATCATCTATCTATCTATCTATCTATCTATAGTGTATAAATACATATATATAAACCCTGGTATATGAATGATATGACTACAATATATATATATCATATGCAGATATATATCTTGATCATATTTGTCTTTAATGTAATGAAATATAGTAATGCATAGTAATGGGAATTATTTTTGAGAATAAAGTCTACAATAAGACATTAGTGATGTAAATTTGTGGGAAAAAAAAATATAACTATAATAAAAAAATTATGTCACAGTGCTAATCATGTTAATGGCCCTAAAAAGGCTTCATTTTCGTAATGCCCAAAAAAGTAATTTCTTTGATTTTAAGGTGAAACGAGATTAAGACAAACTAGAGTTTTTGAGATTCACCCGTAAAAATGTAACAAACCAAAGTTTTTCATTATTTTTTTAAATAAAAAAAGATCAATAAAATTCTAATAAATGAATTGTACTTGTTTAAGCACTTCAGTTGAGTAGAGATTTGTGTTTGTACCTGCTGGACTGCAGCTCCGTCCGTCTTCATCCAGCTGGTAACCGTCTGCGCAGCCGCACACAACACCTGCCGTCTGCTCTGACCGACTGCAGTAATGCAGACACCCTCCGTTCTTAAACTTACAGTCAAACACCTCTGAACACACACAGACACATGGTCAACCCACTGTTTGCTCCAAAGAAAGACTAAGCAGTCAACTGCTCAAACTATTTTTGAACAATGCAGTAAATCCAGACGAACGCAGCATGCAGTGAGAGGTTTCCAGTGAACCTGTTTGACAGATCGGCCCGCTGTACTGCGGAGGACAGAGACACTCGCGAACACCGCGGCCCTCGCTGCAGATTCCTCCATTCAGACACGGGTTAAAGCCACACAGATTCTTGTCTGTCTGTCTGTCTGTCTGTCTGTCTATCTATCTATCTATCTATCTATCTATCATCTATCTATCTATCTATCTATAGTGTATAAATACATATATATAAACCCTGGTATATGAATGATATGACTACAATATATATATATATCATATGCAGATATATATCTTGATCATATTTGTCTTTAATGTAATGAAATATAGTAATGCATAGTAATGGGAATTATTTTTGAGAATAAAGTCTACAATAAGACATTAGTGATGTAAATTTGTGGGAAAATGTTATATAACTATAATAAAAAAATTATGTCACAGTGCTAATCATGTTAATGGCCCTAAAAAGGCTTCATTTTCGTAATGCCCAAAAAAGTAATTTCTTTGATTTTAAGGTGAAACGAGATTAAGACAAACTAGAGTTTTTGAGATTCACCCGTAAAAATGTAACAAACCAAAGTTTTTCATTATTTTTTTAAATAAAAAAAGATCAATAAAATTCTAATAAATGAATTGTACTTGTTTAAGCACTTCAGTTGAGTAGAGATTTGTGTTTGTACCTGCTGGACTGCAGCTCCGTCCGTCTTCATCCAGCTGGTAACCGTCTGCGCAGCCGCACACAACACCTGCCGTCTGCTCTGACCGACTGCAGTAATGCAGACACCCTCCGTTCTTAAACTTACAGTCAAACACCTCTGAACACACACAGACACATGGTCAACCCACTGTTTGCTCCAAAGAAAGACTAAGCAGTCAACTGCTCAAACTATTTTTGAACAATGCAGTAAATCCAGACGAACGCAGCATGCAGTGAGAGGTTTCCAGTGAACCTGTTTGACAGATCGGCCCGCTGTACTGCGGAGGACAGAGACACTCGCGAACACCGCGGCCCTCGCTGCAGATTCCTCCATTCAGACACGGGTTAAAGCCACACAGATTCTGATCTACACAGGACAACAACTCATTCAACTCCATCATAATCTGTCAGGATGAGGCTTCAGAGTTTATTCAGAAACACTTTCAGCAGAGTGGCTTGAACTGGTTAATAAAGAAAAGTCTTACTCTGATATCTGTACCAGAACTCCATCTATAAGAACACAGGAACATGAGAGTCAGACGACAATGATGTGATTGTATTCTTAAAAATAAAAGTTCCATTTAGAACTAAAGAGGTTTTTAAAAAGGTCTGATGTCATAGAAGAATCTTTAAGTGACACAAAGATCTTTTGATTCTCTGGTTCTTTAGAAATCCATCTGCATGTTCTGCTGCTTTAAAGCAGTGCTTCTCAACCAGGGGTCTGTAAATGATTTAACCCTGTAAATCCTGACATATGAAATAATAGTCAGAAAAATCTTTTTTTTTATGAAAACGTTTATTGAACAAAACATTTAAAAAGTTTGCATATATGATTTTTGTTGAGTATTATATTTGATCCATCAGGCTTTTATGGCTCATATAGTCTGAAAGTCTGATATAATGAGAATATGGAGGAAAAAAACTATTTTATTCAGAGTCTTAAACTATGTAATTTAGAGAAGACAAAAAAAAAAAATTCTGAAGCTTGTACTGTAAATAAGTGCAATCTTTATATCAGTACAGCAGATACTTACATAAAATGATATAAATATCAGTCGTCACCCTATATCTCCAATAATATGACTTAAATGATCAAACATATAATGCAATGCAATACATAAGTGAAAATAAGCGAAAAAATCTAAAAATCAAGATATAATCTGAGCTGGATGTATGAGGAAATTTTAAAAGTGTGATTTCTAGACTTGTAAAAGCCATGAAAACATTTTATTATGACGTTTTTTTCTAATTATGCCAAGCTCTGAAATACTTCAGAGGTTACAATAGAAATAGAAATTGCTATTTTGTTAGTAAATACTACTACTACTAATAAATTATAATGTATTAGTAATAAAAACAATAAAAAAGAAGTTGAGAAGCACTGCTTTAAAGAGCCCAGAAACCAAAACTCTGATCTGATGAACCTGATGAAACATCACAAAGACCTTAATTAATCTCCAAAGAGCCGTATATCAGCACAAGAAGCCCATGCAGAGCAGAATAAGACAATATGGTGTGACTGTACCGTTTTCTCTCTGCTCTGGAAGATCTCAGCCGCTTCCTCCAGAGAGCAGCGCTCCTCATAACACTCGCGCTCCAGATTCCCGGGCTTCATCTCCTCCAGGAAGACGTTTGCCCTTCGGTTCCTGAGCAGATGAACAGCATCACGCCTGTCCAGAAACACTGAACACGATACACACACTTGATCAGTGATAGACAGACAGACAGACAGACAGACATACATACATAAAGACAGACAGACATACAAACAAAAATACAGACAGACAGACATACATACAGACATACAGACTGACAGACAGACATACATACATAAAGACAGACAGACATACAAACAAAAATACAGACAGACAGACAGACATACAAACAGACATGCATACAGACATGCATACAGACATACAGAAAGACAGACAGACAGACAGACAGACAGACATACATACATACATACATACATACATACATACA